TTCATAGAACTTTCCACAGTTGTCTTAGGTTGAACCATAAGACATTAACTACATTTGACTTCTAACCTACAAAATAGCAGTCTGGTATGGTCAAGCCCAATGAATTCAGTGTGAAATGAATTATTTGATGTCTGTTTCCGACTAGAATGCAGACTGTGAGGGTAGGACTGTGCCTTGTTCCGTGTGCCCAGGGCCTACCTAGCATAGGGTCTTGGATATTAAATATTGTTGACTAAGTGAGGAGATGGAGTGGCTTGTCCAGGAATTAATTCCAGTTTCCTAAGTCTAGTTCATTTTTCTTTCTGTTACATCACAGCCTCTACACTTCGGTGATGTCCTCATTTGCTGTATAGCATCATCTGTAGCAACAATAGGAACACAACTTTTTCTGCTTTTTCATAACCTCGTTTGTATGTGAAACCTTTATAAGTCATACTCCAGGTTCCCCAATTCTGTTTGTTGGTAAATTACTCCCTTAATTCAAGAATGGCATCTCCCTTTCCATTCCACAGGTATGTGCCTGGGGAAAAAGACTTATTTTTTAAGGCTTATCTCAAAAGTAACTTCCTCTGTAAAATAAAACCTTAAAGGAGTCTTTCCATGGCTTGGCCTTTACCTCTTCCAGAAGCCCAGTGTAAGGTTTGTTTCTGTTAGTTGGAAGCATCCTGTCCTGCTCCTGTGATTATTTTAAAATGGAATAGTGTTCCAACCCAGAGTTCCATGGGAGTCATGAGAGTTCTCCCTCCCACGGGATGGCCTAATCTTACTGTCTTTCAGCCGCCTTCTCAGCTTCTTTGCCACCTTCATGTGTTATGTTAATATCCTTATTTTTCCTCTGAGCCCCTAGGGTAGGGACCATATCTTATATATATTATCCTTTATCTCTTGCAGGGCCTTTTATAATTGGACTTTATAATTATTTGTGGAATTCAATTAATTTTTGGAAAATAAAGAAGCAGTGCCAGGTATATACTGAGTTTAAAAATGTGCTGGTACTATGGTTGTGAATGTTTTGAAGGCCTCCTTGAACTATTTCCATTCTTAGCTCATGTGACCTCTCTCTTAATAAATTCCAGAAGGTTCACTATTGCTGCTTAAGAAGGCTTGGGAGTCCTCCACAGCCTTCTACAGGTTTTCTTTACTCTTCAGGACGCTTTCTCGAGCCTCTGTGGCTTATAAAACAGCACAATGAAAGTGGCTTTCACAGACAAAAGGGAGACCCTGATCCTGGTCCTATGCCTTCTCTCTCAAGAGGGCTTTTAACACAACCCAAGAAAGAGGAAAGGGAGAGGAATGTCAGCACAGTTCAGACTGCAGCTCTTCTTCAAGTTTCATAGATACCAGCTTGGGAGACAAACACACAGGGTTCTAGGTGAGACCCATGGAAATTGCCAGGCTCCTCAAGCCTTATCTCTCACAGAAGCAGCCCGGGTAAGGAGCTCAGCTTTTGGGAGGTAAAATAAAACAGCAAGAGAGCCAAACTCAAACACTCTTGGGGGTCAAAGTAAGGGTGGGATGACTTGCTTTTCTGTATTCTGGAGGAGACTGAGTCTTGAGAGATGGGTAGTTCAAAAGGTGGGTGCATTAGGAGAGGGAACAGCAGTCCTCAGGGGCAAAACAGCGTAATAGCACAGAGGTGGACACGTACAAAATCTGGAAGGAAGAGTACAGCAGTGGTACTGGAAACCACAGACTGTTTGTGCCTGCAAAGGTCTTTGTATTTTCAAAGTTCATCCACTCCCTACCTCACCCGATCCTCAATACAACCCCTGTGACATATGGAGCCATTGTCATTGAACTTGTTTCACAGAAAACAAAAACTACCACCATCTAGGATTTGGAGTGGTTAGGTCACCCAGGCAAAGCTGTGAGACAAGTACGTGGCTGAGCTGGAATTCTGACCTGAGGTTTCTGTCTCCTAGCATTCTTTTGGGGCCCTGGGTAATGCTGTGGTGTGAGGTTAAACTTAGACAACAGGGAGCCACAATTCTAAGGATTTTAGAGGAGGCATGATAATCACAGGTGTGCTGGGCCTCAGGCATGTGCACTGGCTGGTAGAGGAATGTGAGCACCCCCACACAGCTACATGGCTCTGAGCAGGAAGCAGGGGTGATTTACAGGGAACGCTGACAGGGTGGAAAGGGATAATGGCGGAGGGCCTGTGGGGAAGAATGGTGCTCATTCATTCACTCAGTAACTTTTCAGAAAGCACCTCCTTTGTACCAAGTGTTGTGCTAGGCATTGGGGCTGCAATGCTGAACATGGCAACAGGGTCCCTGCCCTCACAGGGCTGGCATTTCAGGGAATAACAGATAATAAAGAGCAAATGAACACGTGAAAGAACTTCAAATTGTGATTAAGCATATGATCTTCAGGAACCTATGAGGACATTGCCCAGCTTCATGGGTCTCAAGGGTGGTTTCTCCTGTATGCCTTGAAATTCCTGAGTGTAATGCACTCTGTGTTCAGGGTCCTGGGTCATTCATGGGAGGGAGGCATCCTTCCTCCGGCTTGGAGTGATCTGGGAGCAGCTTCACGGAAGGGGAAGCATTGAGGTTGGACGTGGACATGCATTCGTTCAACAAATACCTAACAAGCACTTATTGAGTGTGCTAGGTATTAGGGCTAATCTGTGAGTAAATCCATGTACCACCACAGACCTACTGAATGGATTGATGATAAGCAAGATAGACAAGTAAAATAGTATTTCAGAAAAACGCTCTGGAGAAAAATTTAATGGGGAAGGGGATACAGACCATTGGGATGGATATTGTTGTAGCCTTAGTGTGGCTAGAGGAGACTGCATCACACATTTGAGTACAGACTTGAAGGAAGTGAGAGTGAGCCATGTAAAATATGTGGGATGGGTATTCCAGGTAGAGGAACCTACAGTGCAAAGGTCCTTAGGCAGGAGCTTTCCTGGGTGTTTTCAGATGAGCAACCAGGCCAGTGTGATTGGAGCAGAGACAGCAAAGGGTGGAATTGTAGAAAGTGGGGTCAGAGATGAGTGGGAGGAGGTGTTGGACAGATGGGGCATTGCAGGGAATTGCAGGCCACTTTAGGTTTTACTCTGAGAAGGGAAACCACTGCCTTGAAGGTCAGTTGCTCAAGGCAGGGGTCTGTGGTGGCTTTTCTCTGCATCCCCCTCAGCATCTAGCACAGGGCTTCACTTAGAAAATGTCAAGTTGCTGTTTTTAAAGAAAGGTCTGTCAACAGAGGGCATGTGCATAGCCTGCGGGGAACAGTTGGTAGGAGACCACTTTGGTCTCTCTTATGCAGAGAATACTCAGGTGGGGATAAGGTGGGGAATCTAGGGGCAGGTGTACAAATGTGGACAGGAAACAGGGGGATCACTGGGTCTTTGGAGCAGGGGATGGCCTAAGGTGACTGACTGGCAGGAGGGCTGGAGAAGAGACAGAGGCTGGAGGCTAGTGCGGCTGGGACAGGCAGTGGTTTTTGGGTAGACAGAGGCAAGAAATAGGCAAGAAGTCTCAGTGGGGAAGCTGGCCAGCACTTGGACAAGGGTGAGAGAGCAGTTAGACTGTTGGCTGTTTGCCTGGACCAGGGGGCCGGCGAGCAGAATTGGATAAGTCTAGAGAGCTATAACTGCCTTGTGTTTTATTTTCCTGCTGCTTTCGTTATTCTCACCTGAAGGGTGGGCAGCATGTCTTACTCAGCCTTGCGTCACCCAGCTTCCACTGCCGGAAGGGCACAAGGCAGGTGCTCAGGCAGTGCTTGTGTTATTTTGAATCAGCTGGATATGAGACATAGATGTGCCATCTTTAGTACTAGAATCATCCTTTCCCTCCACATGCTGGTTCAGCTCTTCCATTCCTTAGGCAAGATGCTATTCCTGGGCCTCATGAGCAAGAGGACCTATGCTTATCAAGCCATGGTGCTGATCATGAAAGGCTGAATAGTCAGAGACTGTGTCAAGTTCAGGGTTAGCCAGGCATTTCTTTGGTGCACAAAGAAGGAAGTTGCTCTGGAGTGAGAGATGTAGTTGGTGCCAACAAATGCAAACTGGCACCTGCTTCCTTCATGTCTCCTGAAGCAGCTGCTATAGGACCCTCCCTGTATACTGCAGGCATCAATACATGCCTATAGGGTGGGGGGATGAAGAGCAAGGGAACTACACTGAAGATTCGACATTCACCCAAACATTTCTTGGGAGTCTACACTGTCTGTGGACATGGGCCTTTGGAACAATTTCATCTACTCTATTTTCAGAAGTCAGCTTCAAGGTCATTTCCCCCCCAGAAGCCCCTGGACACCCTTCATCTGATTCAGAGTTGTCCTAGCACTCTGTACTTCCCTTAAGACTAGCATTTATAAAATGGCATTTAAAATGCCCGTTTTCTGGTCTGCATGTTTTCCTCAACTTGGAAGCCCTCTGAAAGCAGAAATAGATTTTTGTCCTCATCACTTAGCACAGAGCCTTGTACAACACAGGGTTCACTTAATTAACAATTGTTGAATTAACTAAGACAGTGGTATAGTGCTAAATATGAACGGAGTGGAATCCCAGGATTTCAGGAGGTTTCTCTGGGTTTGAACTTACGTTGGAAGAGAAAGTGGTCAGTTCATCCCATGAAGATGAGAGATTTCCAGGTAGTGAACAGGTGTGTTAAAGATGGGAAGGCACGCTGAAGAAAGGTGTTAAGTTCTCTGTGGTTGGAGCACATCAATGTATCTGGGGATCTAGGGCAACAGTGTAACTTAAGTCAAGTCCGTAAACTGTAGGTAATGGCAACCCTGGCCACAGGGCAAAGGTGCTGACATCCATAACCCCTGGGGAAGAGCCAGTGGCCCCACTGACTAAGCCTCGCACCTTGCCCCAGCCACAGCACGTGCCACCCACCGGCCGCGAACCCCAGCCTGACAAAGGCCCGAGGGACCTCCCCGGGCGCCCAGGGAAGGGTATCGGAGAGGGACGCCAGGAGCAGAGCGCGCAGGCGCGCTGAGGCCCTCGTGCCCCAAGGGAGGGCGGGTGCGCGCGCTTCCTAGCGCACGCGCGCACGGAGGGGGCGACGACTGCGGTGACGTTACTGCGGCGGGCAGGCGGCAGCGCGTGTGGCGCGTAATTTCCCCGTGTCTTGGGAGCAGTGCCTGGGCCCCCGCTGCCCACGCCGCCGCAATGTCGGGCCGGTCCGTCCGGGCCGAGACCCGCAGCCGGGCCAAGGACGACATCAAGAAGGTGATGGCGGCCATCGAGAAAGTGCGGAAATGGTGAGGGGCCGGTGCCGAGGGTGCTGGCGGGGGTCACCGGCCCTGGCCCGGAGGAACGCCGAACTGACAGGCCGGGTGGGAGCCGACCAGCAGGCGCTTGGGGGGAGGGGGTAGCAGAAGAAGGCGGAAGGAGGGCGCAGCTCGCGGCTGCGTGAGGTCAGAGGGCGCCCCGGCTGGGGCCAATCAGAGGGTCGCCCGGCTCGCGGGCCCGCCCATCTGCCCTCGGGCAACGCGTCGCCTGGGCGGTGAAGGGGGAACTCCCTGCTTCTGGTTGTGCTTCCAGGTATACCCGGCGCGGATTAGTGCTCGCTCCCGCCTACCTCTGGAGGAGCTCAAGTTCTGAACTGTCTCATACAGTCGCTAACAATCTGTCTCCCGTCAACCAGACCGACGCTCTAGTACTAACTCGTTTAAGTTTGGTGAGAGCATCTTGGTAAACCTACCTGCCACTGAAGCAAGCGTGGCCTTGGCAATCGAAGCCCCCTATCCCCTACTGTGAGCCTCCACGTTGCAAACCGAGTAGGCATTTTTCTCTCGGCGGCTGGGAGCTGTTAGTAGACCTCCCCCGCGTTTGGAAACTGGCTTGTGCAACATTCATTGCAGGCGCCGTCGTCCGCCTGTTTTGTATCTGGAACTTCGATGCATTGTCACGTTAACTTTGACAGCCAACTGTTTTGCGCCAACTTGAGTACTTTTCTCTAACTGATTACTGCTAATAATTTTAAAGTCCAGATAGGTTGTTAGCTTCTACAGGAGCTCCTCTCCTCTCGCCCCTCACTCTCCATCCCCTTTAGGGGCGTCATCCCCTTGGACTTTATTTATCCATTTCCCACAACTCCACTCAAAAGTTGCTTCCTCGAGATCCTTTTAAGGATTTCCTGTCAAGGCTCACCTTTCAAGATCCCCCCAGTCTCAGTCAGGTCCCCTTCATAGAACTTTCCACAGTTGTCTTAGGTTGAACCATAAGACATTAACTACATTTGACTTCTAACCTACAAAATAGCAGTCTGGTATGGTCAAGCCCAATGAATTCAGTGTGAAATGAATTATTTGATGTCTGTTTCCGACTAGAATGCAGACTGTGAGGGTAGGACTGTGCCTTGTTCCGTGTGCCCAGGGCCTACCTAGCATAGGGTCTTGGATATTAAATATTGTTGACTAAGTGAGGAGATGGAGTGGCTTGTCCAGGAATTAATTCCAGTTTCCTAAGTCTAGTTCATTTTTCTTTCTGTTACATCACAGCCTCTACACTTCGGTGATGTCCTCATTTGCTGTATAGCATCATCTGTAGCAACAATAGGAACACAACTTTTTCTGCTTTTTCATAACCTCGTTTGTATGTGAAACCTTTATAAGTCATACTCCAGGTTCCCCAATTCTGTTTGTTGGTAAATTACTCCCTTAATTCAAGAATGGCATCTCCCTTTCCATTCCACAGGTATGTGCCTGGGGAAAAAGACTTATTTTTTAAGGCTTATCTCAAAAGTAACTTCCTCTGTAAAATAAAACCTTAAAGGAGTCTTTCCATGGCTTGGCCTTTACCTCTTCCAGAAGCCCAGTGTAAGGTTTGTTTCTGTTAGTTGGAAGCATCCTGTCCTGCTCCTGTGATTATTTTAAAATGGAATAGTGTTCCAACCCAGAGTTCCATGGGAGTCATGAGAGTTCTCCCTCCCACGGGATGGCCTAATCTTACTGTCTTTCAGCCGCCTTCTCAGCTTCTTTGCCACCTTCATGTGTTATGTTAATATCCTTATTTTTCCTCTGAGCCCCTAGGGTAGGGACCATATCTTATATATATTATCCTTTATCTCTTGCAGGGCCTTTTATAATTGGACTTTATAATTATTTGTGGAATTCAATTAATTTTTGGAAAATAAAGAAGCAGTGCCAGGTATATACTGAGTTTAAAAATGTGCTGGTACTCCATATGGGTGTAGTCTGTGAGGGAAGGAAGGTTTTGGTATACTGTATGTGAGGAAAGGTGGCAAGCAGAGGGTTCAGAGCCAAATTAATATGATAGAGAAGTCTTTCTGGAAGGAAGGATTTCGCACTGGAAGGTGAGGTATAATTTGACGGTGAGGCATTTTAGAAGGCATTTTTTAGAAGGCATTTGAGACTGAAGGAATGATCTGAGAAGTACAAAAGCACAAGTTATGAACAGAAAATCTATTTAATTGTTTATCAGTTCTAAGAAGTGTTTTTTTTCAGGGAGAAAAAGTGGGTGACTGTGGGTGACACATCCCTTAGGATATTTAAGTGGGTTCCTGTGACAGACAGCAAGGAGGTAAGTGTGGAAGAAAATCAAAACGACAAAAAGGTACTGTGTTCTTTTTTTGATTGCCTCTAAATTATGAAGGAATTTATTTCCCCAGAATTGACTTGAAACATTTCAAGGCACTCTCTGTCATCTGGCAAAGCCGCTCTTTATTATTTCCTCCCTTTATTCCCTTTCCTTAACCTAGTCCCCTTTTTCAGGGCTTGGTGAACTACAGCCCAAGCCTGCTCCCTGTGACTGTCAGTATAGTTTCATTGGAACACAGCCATGCCCATTGGTTTCCTTACTGTCTGGCTGCTTTTGAGTCACAGCAGTAGAGTTGAGTAGTGCCATAGACCTAATGGCCAGCAAAGCCTACAATGTATTATTACCTGCCCTATAAGTAAAAGTTTGCTGACTCCTGCTACTAGGGGCCCAATTTCATTTTTTTCCCCCCACAGATAGGCATTTGTCCTAGCATCATTTATTGAAAAGACTGTTCTCTTCCTCTTGTTCTGTAGAACCACCTTTGTCATATTTCATGTCTATTTGGGTCTATTTCTGTGTTCTGCCTCCAGCTTTTTGGTAGTATAGCTGACTGCAGTGGACATCCCTTAAACCATTCTCCTTGAGGGCTGTGGGAGGTTTTCTCGGATTTGATGCCCAGGGATGGGATTGCCTTGTTACAAGGCGTACATACGTAATTATTTTTAGTAAATGACAGATCCCTCTGGAGAACAGCTGCACCAGTATAGTTCGTATACTTCCCCAGCAGTACTGGAGAGTTCACGTTGTCTATTATCTTCACGAGCAACATGATACTACCTAACGCCCAGCTCCTAAATCCTGCCAGTCTGATGGATGTAAGGTATCTCTGTTAATTTTGCAGTTCTCTGATTACTAGGGAGGTTGATCATTTTATCTCTTCAGGTTTCCATTCACATTTCCTTTTCAATATTTTGCTCATTTTTGTATTGGGTTTTCTGTCTTTACCTTTTTGGTTTGCATGGATTCTGTAATTGATATTCTAGATTTTTGTCTTTGTCTAAATGTCTGTTAACTTTATCAGTAACATTTTTAAATTTTTGTGTGTGTGTCAAATAAATCAAATTTTTTCCTTACAGTTTTTACTTCCAGGGTCTTTTAAAAAAATTATTCTCCATTACATGGTCATAAAAAACTTGGGCATTTTCTGTTAGCTTTTTAGTTTTAACTTTCACATTTAACTCTTTAATGCTATGTAAGTTTTTTTTTTTAATGGTAAAGAGATGGATCTAATTTTTTTAAATTAAGGTATCATTGATATACAAACTTATGAAGATTTCACATGAACAACATTATGGTTTCAACATTCACCCATATTATAAAGTGCCCCCCCAACCCCATCCCAATCACTGTCCATCAGTGTAGTAAGATGCTATAGAGTCATCACTTGTCTTCCTGCTATACTGCTTTCCCCATGACCTACCTGTATTGCGTATGCTAATTATAGTGCCCCCTTAATCCCCTTCTCCCTCCTTTCCCAACCACCCTCCCCAACCTCTTTTCCTTTAGTAACTGCTAGTCCCCTCTTGGAGTCTGTGAGTCTGTTGCTGCTCTGTTCCTTCAGTTTTACTTTTTTGTTATACTCCACAAATGAGTGAAATCATTTGGTACTTGCCTTTCTCTGCCTGGCTTATTTCACTGAGCATAATACCCTCCAGGTACATCCATGTTTTTGCAAATGGTAGGATTTATTTTCTTTTTATTGTTGAATAATATTCCATTGTTTATATGTGATGCTGAGGTTCTTGTTCTTGGAGCGGAAGAATGAACTTTGCAAACACTCAAGGTAGGAGAGCAAGGCAGAGGTTTTTATTTAGAGAGAAAGTGAGAGGACAGAGCTCCTGACTCATGCCAGGAGGGCACTGGAGTCCCAGGGTGTTGCATTGTCTAGGTTTTTTTTAATTTTTTAATTTTGTTATCATTAATCTACAATTACATGAAGAACACTATGTTTACTAGGCTGCCCCCTTCACCAAGTCGCCCCCACAAACCCCATTACAGTCACTGTCCATCAGCGTAGTAAGATGCTGTAGAATCACTACTTGTCTTCTCTGTGTTGTACAGCCCTCCCCATGCCCCCCCCCACATTATACATACTAATCGTAATGCCTCCTTTCTTTTTCCCCAGCCTTATCCCTCCCTTCCCACCCATCCTCCCCAGTCCCTTTCCCTTTGGTAACTGTTAGTCCTTTCCTGGGTTCTGTGATTCTACTGTTGTTTTGTTTCTTCAGTTTTCCTTTGTTCTTATACTCCACATATGAGTGAAATCATTTGGTATTTGTCTTTTTCCGCCTGGCTTATTTCACTGAACATAATACCCGCTAGCTCCATCCATGTTGTTGCAAATGGTAGGATTTGTTTTCTTCTTATGGCTGAATAATATTCCATTGTATATATGTACTCCACCTTCCTTATCCATTCATCTACTAATGGACACTTAGATTGCTTCCATTTCTTGGCTATTGTAAATAGTGCAGTGATAAACATAGGGGTGCATCTGTCTTTTTCAAACTGGAGTGTTGCATTCTTGGGGTAATTCCTAGAAGTGGAATTCCTGGTTCAAGTGGTATTTCTATTTTGAGCATTTTGAGGAACCTCCATACTGCTTTCCACAATGGTTGAACTAGTTTACATTCCCACCAGCAGTGTAGGAGGGTTCCCCTTTCTCCACAACCTGGCCAACATTTGTTGTTGATTGTCTTTTGGATGGTAGCCATCCTTACTGGTGTGAGATGATATCTCATTGTGGTTTCAATTTGCATTTCTATGATAACTAGCAATGTGGAGCATCTTTTCATGTGTCTGTTGGCCATCTAAATTTCTTCTTTAGAGAACTGTCTATTCAGCTCCTCTGCCCATTTTTTAATTGGATTATTTGCTTTATGTTTGTTGAGGTGTGTGAGCTCTTTATATATTTTGGATGTCAACCCTTTATCAGATCTGTCATTTATGAATATATTCTCCCATACTGTAGGATACCTTTTTGTTCTATTGATGGTGTCCTTTGCTGTGCAGAAGCTTTTCAGCTTGATATAGTCCCATTTATTCATTTTTGCTTTTGTTTCCCTTGGCTGGTGAGATATGTTCAAGAAGAGGTCACTGATGTTTATGTCTAAGAGATTTTTGCCTATGTTTTTTTCTAAGAGTTTTATGGTTTCATGACTTCCATTCAAGTCTTTGATCCATTTCAAATTTATTTTTGTGTATGGGGTTAGACAGTGATCCAGTTTCATTCTCTTACATGTAGCTGTCCAGTTTTGCCAGCATCATCTGTTGAAGAGACTGTCATTACCCCATTGTATGTCCATGGCCCCTTTATCGAATATTAGTTGACCATATATGTTTGGGTTAATGCTTGGAGTCTCTATTCTGTTCCATTGGTCTGTGGCTCTGTTCTTCTGCCAGTACCAATTGTCTTGATTACTGTGGCTTTGTAGTAGAGCTTGAAGTTGGGGTGTGAGATCCCCCCCACTTTATTCTTCCTTCTCAGGATTTAGCTATTTGGGGTCTTTGGTGTTTCTATATGAATTTTTGAACTATTTGTTCCAGTTCATTGAAGAATACTGTTGGTAGTTTGATAGGGATTACATCGAATCTATATATTGCTTTGGGCAGGATAGCCATTTTGACGGTATTAATTCTTCCTAGCCAAGAGCATGGGTGAGTTTCCATTTGTTAGTGTCCTCTTTAATTACTCTTAAGAGTGTCTTACAGTTTTCAGGGTATAGGTCTTTCACTTCCTTGGCTATTCCTAGGTATTTTATTCTTTTTGATGCAGTTGTGAATGGAATTGTTTTCCTGATTTCTCTTTCTATTAGCTCATTGTTAGTGTATAGGAAAGCCACAGATTTCTGTGTTAATTTTGTATCCTGCAACTTTTCTGAATTCCGATATTAGTTCTAGTAGTTTTGGAGTGGAGTCTTTAGGGTTTTTTTATGTACAATATCATGTCATTTGCAAATAGTGACAGTTTAACTTCTTCTTTACCAATCTGGATTCCTTGTATTTCTTTGTTTTGTCTAATTGCCATGGCTAGGACCTCCAGTACTATGTTGAGTAACAGTGGGGAGAGTGGTCATTCGTGTCTTGTACCCTATCTCAGAGAAAAAGCTTTCAGCTTCTTGCTGTTCAGCATGATGTTGGCTGTGGATTTATGATATATGGCCTTTATTAAGTTGAGGTACCTGCCCTCTATGCCCATTTTGTTGAGAGTTTTTATCATGAATGGATGTTGAATTTTGTCGAATGCTTTTTCAGCATCTATGGAGATGATCATGTGGTTTTTGTCCTTTTTTCTGTTTATGTAGAGGATGATGTTGATGGATTTTCGAATGTTGTACCATTCTTGCATCCCTGATATGAATCCCACTTGGTCATGGTGTATGATCCTTTTGATGTATTTTTGAATTTGGTTTGCTAATATTTTGTTGAGTATTTTTACGTCTATATTCATCAGGGATATTAGTCTGTAATTTTCTTTTTTGGTGGGGTCTTTGCCTGGTTTTGGTATTAGGGTGATGTTGGCTTCAAATAATGAGTTTGGGAGTATTCCCTCCTCTCCTATTTTTTGGAAAAGTTTTAGGAGAGTGGGTATTATATCTTCTTTGTATGTTTGATAAAATTCTGAGGTAAATCCATCTGGCTGGGGGGTTTTGTTCTTGGGTAGTTTTTTGATTACCAATTCAATTTCTTTGCTGGTAATTGGTTTGTTTAGATTTTCTGTTTCTTCCTTGGTCAGACTTGGAAGATTGTATTTTTCTAGGAAGTTGTCCATTTCTTCTTGGTTTTCCAGCTTGTTAGCATATAGATTTTCATAGTATTCTCTAATAATTCTTTGTATTTCTGTGGGGTCCATCATGATTTTTCCTTTCTCGTTTCTTATTCTGTTGATGTGTGTTGATTCTTTTTCTCTTAATAAGTCTGGCTAGAGGCTTATCTATTTTATTTTCTCAAAGAAGCAGCTCTTGGTGTCATTGATTTTTTCCATTGTTTTATTCTTCTCAATTTTATTTCTTTCT